TCTATCTATCTATCTATCTATCTATCTATCTATCTATCTATCTATCTATCTCTTCTATTAAACATCAGGACAAACCTGAATGTTTTCTATGCTAGGAAAAAAAAATACTAAAAATCCTTGTCTCTGGAATACTTTGGCAATGTGTAGAACTGACAGTTCTGGGGCAATGCTTTGACAGGCATTGGGCAGATGGAACCACTGTCAGCTATTCCCTGGAGGGAGCACCTGCCTCGGTTCAGCCCCGGTCCACTAGTCCTGTCTCTTAGCTGTGGTGCTAGATCTTGTTGTCCCTGACTGAGGGTGACTTAAGAATATTTCATTCTTCATATTATGAAATATTTCAACTGCCATGAAAACACTTCAATGCCTCGAGTACATTGCAAGAGTTTCTGGTTCATGTTTTATTTTTATGTCTTTGATTTTTCCCGTATCTATAGCAGACTGAATTGGCACTCTTCAGAGCTTCTAGTGACATGAACTGAGGTGGGTTTTAACTGTTATAAAAGAGTAGAAGTAGAATATATAATGAGGAAATAAAGCATATTTTGTGAGTTTAGTAAGTAATATTATATAACAGGAATAGAATTTGATTTAGGTTAAGTGTTTGGCTGTGACAAGGTGGGAAACATCCTAAATAAGGGAGCTGAAGTTTGAATTCTTACTTGCCCATCATAATGACCTTGAACAAATCAGCTAATCTTTGTGTGCTTGTGATAACACATATTTACCTGGTAATATTGTAAGGATTATGTATTAATAGGATTTCACTAAGACATCATTTATACTGTAGCTGAGTGCAAATCCAAGATTAAGAATAAAAGTGTTCTACTGGAATGGGATAGCCCGGGGGTCAAGTAAATTTGTTTCAGCTATTATAGCCTGATCACATAGTATAAAAGAGAAAACTTAAAGACAGAATAAAACTTATTCTTTTAAAGACAGAGTTTCTCTATGTATTGCTAGCTGTCCTGAAACTCACTGTATAGACCATACTGTTCTTAAACGTAGAGATCTGCCTGTGTCTACCCTCTGAGTTCTGGGACTAAAAAGGTGTGCCAGCATACCAGGCTTAAAATCTTTTTGTTTGTCTATGTGCATTGGGTTTTGCCTGCATGTATGTCTGTGTAAAGGTGTTG